GAAACGACTTTTTGACATGCTTCGAGGCATGGAAAAAACGTTGGCATAAGTGTATTGTATCGGAGGGAGATTACTTTGAAGGGGATCAAATTGATTTGGATGAATAAATAAAGATTTTTTATTTTATAACAAAATTCACCTTACTTTTTGATCACACCTCGTACATTAGGTAATGCATACGCTCTCGGGAGACTCCCTAAAATATAATTTTTTATATATTGATTTGCTAATAAAATTTTTTCTCTTCTATCTTAGAAGTAATTCAACATTATCACAAACATTAGTTAATTTATTGATTGGGTCTTTTTTCAATTTAGTGTAAATGCTCTTTATCAATAAGCATCTGCACAACTTTTTTATAATCATTGTTATTCAGTTAATATTTTCCTTATCAGCTTTTGTAAGGATCACATGAGGGTTGTGTTTAAAAATTCTTTGGTGAACTTGATTAACTGTGAAATTTTATTATTAACATCATTTTTTACAGAAAAGGATAACAATTTTTTAAAAATCGGTAAAGAAATATCTTTAATCGTAGCCATCTGTTCAGTGCTATATTACTTAATATTACTTTCTATGTCTTTTATAAACTTAAACAATGGAAACTTTTTATTACTAAAGGGTAAAGAAGAATTTCCACTCAACTGTAATACTTCTTGCATGTTTGAAAGTCCTAATTTAATAAAAATATGAAACAACAGATCAAATCAATAGATAAGGAAAAAATTAATATAGATCTCTTGGTTCGTGCTTTTTTATATCCTTATTCGGATAAATTTAAAAGAATAAGCAATACTTTTAAATACTAAACTAGCTTTTATCAATGCAAATAAATTGTACAGATTGATTAAGGTACAACAAGACATTCTCCAACGAGAGAAAAAAAGAAAAATATTGTTTACAAAATTAAATTGGGCTAACGTGCCGAATAAGGAAGGCAGTTCCGATAACCCTAACAAGTTGTTAAGGTCACGCTCTTCAGTAACCTCTATTTTAATCATCACTGGTCATTCATTAAAAAGTTATTAACAAACGAAGTTTGAAAAATAATCTCTTCTATTATATAAAAGAGAAATTTTTTGCTTTAAAGTATATTTTACAACTTCGCAAAACGACTCTCAACGCCCACCTCCCCGCCCTGCCAAAGAGCGTGCAACTTCCACATGAAGCGACTCTCACCCTACCTTCTCCTCCTGCCGAGGGGCACGCGACTTCCACACGAAATTTTCAAACCACCTCCCCGCTCCTGCTTAGGGGTGCGCGACTTCCATGCGAAGCGATTCATACCCCACCTCTCCCCTACTTAGGAGAGCACGACTTTCACGCAAAAAGCGACTTTTACTTCATGTCCCTGCTTTGACTTTCCACGCAAAGCAACTTGGCGAGATAGAATGGAACTCGCTTCGCATGGAAAGTCTTGGCAGGGGCGTGCGTAGAAAATTGTGAAATATACTTCAAAGTAGAAAATTTCTATTTTACATAATAGAAAAGAGACACCATTTTTCAAACTTCTTTTGTTGATAACTTTTTAATGAATGACGAGCAATGACTAAAATCTATTGGATTTTCACTCAAAGTCATGACCTTGACAACATGTGTCAAGATTAAGATAAATGATGCTACTTCCCTTATTCGGCATATTTACCTTAAATTGTATTAGTCATGTTCTTGAGCTATATTTAACATGCGATTTATAAGATTTGTATAATCCGTAATTAATTTGGAATATTACATCCGTCATCGTATTTATTATTACTTGATCCAATGTTTCAAGACGGCTTCTTTTCATTTTTTTTTTTGGGAGTCACCGTTTTTTTTCTTAAAAAGATTATATTATATTGTTTAATGTTTTAACAGATTGTACAACATCAAATCTGTGATGGTGACTTTATACGTGCAAAGGAAAAGTTTTTAGTTATTATTATTGAAAAGGACTCCAAAGTGAGTCGAAACGTACTAAGATTTATGGAATAAAGTTCTAAGATTAAATTTTGCATACTAATTACCACGCTGACTTTCATTCACCTGAATTTTTTATTTTTATCTAGTTTTGAATGTAAATGTACACAAATTATTTTTGCTTTTATATTCTATCAAATATAATCAGATAAGAATTTCAGAAGGCTGATTATTCGTTAAATTGATATTTCCGTTAAACTAGAGGAAAGAGACTATTATAATGTTCAAATTTTTAGCTATCCGTCGAATTATTGACGTAAAAAACATTGTAATGAAAGTAGCACGTGTCAGTAATAACAATTCTTTTACCTACGTATTTTGCTATTTAAAAACACATTTTTTTCTATCCTATCAAACATCCTCAGTAAACAGTACTTCCATCTAAACCGATAATTGAAAGAGTCATGGATTGCATTTGTCGATCAAAAAAAGTTATGGTATTGGACGTATTGCGATTCTCTATCTTTCTGTTCTCGTTATTTAACAACCGCTTCTCCCAGAGGCGAAAGGAGAATCGAGTATGAACTGTTTGCCAATTTCTGGCGTGATTTAAGACCGTCGACTTGTTTGCTACTGGGAAATCAGAAAAGTTACCGTTATAAAGTCATCGTGGCTCAGCTATGCGAACTGTCGCGATGTCGATAAACGTTCATAACATTATTGGAGCTGCACTGTGTTCGTTTCGATTTAACGCGGATCCTATAAATCGTGCGTGTGGTTTATATCGATCGCAGATGACTGTGTGAAATTATATCGGAATTTGCTTCCACGTACATCACGCATTGTTATGGTTGAGAGAATATCGCTGAATTAGATAATAATAAGGATATTGCGTGCAAGCGTGCGTGCGTGCAAGCGTGCGTGCAGGCGTGTGCGTGTAGAATATTATTTAAAATAATATTTGTGTCATACACATGGAATATTGTGAAATAATATCGCGATCGCATTTGGAAAGCGCGAAAAACGTGGCATTAAATTGATTAATCCTAATTTATGTATTACGTACGAAAATCGTAACGACGTATTGTTCCAAATGTGTCAAATGACATTTCTATCTCAATTAATATTTGTTAAATTTTCGAAACAACTTTTTGAGAAATTTTATTGTAAAATTCGTTTATGATCGAACTATTTTGAACCTAAAATTATCTGATATAAGAATTTAAAGTGTGGAAAGTTGTATCAATCAAGAGATTAAAATAATTTAAAATATAAAATATAATAAACATTTAAGGTTTACATTTAATCGTTATATTTTCTCATTATTTGTTGAATATCAGATTCTTACGCTTGTATAATTAAGCATGGACTGCATTAAATATACAAGGAATGTCTTTGTAAACTTTTTACTTTAATTACACCGTTGGTGTGGAGCTTCGCTACTTGCTTCTTTCGATTTAGCCGAAAACAATTTTTTTAGAAGGATATCAGTCTAGAAAACTCTATATATACTTTTCCATTATAAAACTATAAAGTTATAAAACTATAAAGCACAAATTGAATAAAAATGCAATTTTGTAATGAGGAATATCAAAAACAAATATTATGTACGATAATTTTTGGGCCACAGGCTGGGCCACGCGACATAACCATATAAAAGAATGGAGGAATTACAGACATCTAAGGGAAAAGTTAAATAAAATTGCCAATTATTTACCAATTAATAAAAGCTTTTATTCCAAAAATACTTCAGTTATTTACCTCTTTAACCTACAATAATTAACATTTATATATCATCGATATAATTTTAAATAAAAAACAAAACCTTTTACGTCCGGAATTACCCGCCATCATACGGTGTAACACCGAATTAGTTTTGTTTTTTTTAATTACAGTTTATATTAATAATATACAAATAGTATAATTAGAGTGCAGCTATAATAGAAGGAATAAGGAATTAAGGAATAACGATTCCAACCAATCAGAAATCGTGTACTCCGGTCTATCTGATTTCTGATAGATTAAAATTTTTATTCCTTATTCTTAATTTTTTATTTTTTCTATTGTAGCTGCCCTTACTGTAAACAAAAGTCAATCTTTTGAATAAAGAGTTCTATAATTGATAACCTAGTAAACAAGAAACATTTTAGAATATTTCAACATTGTGATAAATAACGTTGTTGAAACGTTCCAAAATGTTTCTTACTTACTGGGAAATAATTGCCGGCTTTATTTAATTCATAATTTTCCCATGAGTATCCGCAATTACTCAGGGCTAAAAAAAACCTTTCTTCTGAGTTTTTCTTATTAAACTCAACCTGCTGGTTATAACCGATTTTTTTCTTTGATTAAAACCATAATAATTTTCCAGAAGGCCCCTCTCACCTTTAATTTCGAAATTATGCTCATTTGAAGCGTTTTTGCACGAAATCAAAGAATTTGGCAGAAAAAATATTTAAATATGGCTCAGTTTGTCTAGCGAAACAGGTGGATATTTTAAGTAACATATGCAATAAAATAATGATAATGGTCCTAAAAAAATTTTCCATTTTTATGGCAAATCTCTTTAGCTGCCCAGCTACATCAGCATTACATTTGGTCATGTTTGAAGTAAGTTCAGAAATTCCTTGGCTCCGGAAAAAATTAACAAGCACGTTAAGATTCATAGATACATAAATAAATAAATGTTAAAAAACAAGAAAAAAAGGGTTACAAGCCAAAAAATTATTCAATTACATAGTTAATGTAGAATATAAGTAACATACGTATTGGAATATAAGTAAGGAAAAACAATTATATCCTTTAAGATTTAATACAATGTGCTAGCAATAAACAAACAGACGTTTTGATCGCGTTCGGATCATTATCAATGTTAAACATATAGAAAATTATTATACGATAAAAACAGAACATAATATAAATTTATACTTCGCTTTCTCTAACAAACGATGGTAACATTAACCGATTGAAATCTTATTAGCAATTATAAAGGGTGTTTTTTTAAGCCCGATAGAACTTGAAATTGTAAAAAATAAAACAAAAAATTAAATTTTAATAAAAAAATTTTTTTTATTTCTTTCAGTATACACTGGCAAATCATTATGAATAGACTCACGCTTGAATCGGCTTTCGCCGATTGGGCTCTAGAGCAGTTGGCAACTGACCCGTTGTTTTATCGACAAATTGTGTTCAGCGATGAGGCTCATTTTTGGCTTAACGGGTTTGTTAATAAGCAAAATTGCCGCATATGGAATGAGAACAATCCACAAGAGATCCTACAGACTCCATTACATCCAGAAAAATGCACCGTTTGGTGCGGTTTACACGCTGGTGGCATCATCGGACCTTATTTCTTCAAAAATGAGGCCGGAGCTCGCGTTACGGTCAATGGAGATCGTTACCGCACCATGATCAATGATTTTTTATTTGAAAATATGGATGACATTGATCCGGACGAGATGTGGTTTCAACAGGATGGCGCTACGTGCCACACGTCGACCGCAACCATCGACTTATTGAAATCAAAATTTGGCGATAAGTTGATTTCGAGAAATGGAACTGTCAATTGGCCTCCAAGGTCGTGCGATTTGACCCCTCTCGATTATTTCCTCTGGGGCTACGTCAAGTCACTGGTTTATGCTGATAAACCAGCAACAATTGACGCCTTGGAGGACAACATTGTTCGTGTTATTCGTGACATACGGCCGGCACTGCTCGAAAAAGTCACTCAAAATTGGACGTCCAGAATGCGCTTCGTCAAGAACAGCCGCGGTGGCCATATGCCCGAAATCATTTTCAATTGTTAATGCCATACATTGATCTTTCGAATAAAAAAAAATTTTTGATTATAATTGCATTTTTGTGCTAGTTTTTACAGTTGTAAGTTTTATCGGGCTTAAAAAAACACCCTTTATTATAGCTTGAAGACAGTTGCCGCATGATAATAGATAATGTCGTCAATCATTAAATAGTTTGAAATATGTTCTTTAATACGTTATAATACGTTATAAAGAAGAATAAACGCACGCAATTGAATTTTGTCCTGTAGGCAAGATGTAATGTATAAGAATTATATCAGTGAAAAATTATTGGTACAATTAAAAACAAAGAAATTGATAAGAATAGCAAAAAAAAAAACAATGACACAGTCAGTAAAAAATTATTAACATAATTAAAAACATAAAAACTGATAAGAATAGCAAAAGAGACAGTATTATATAGTCAGTGAAAAATTATTGATACAATTAAAAACAAACAAATTGATAAAAATAGCAAAAAATATAATATCATACAGTGAGATGATATAATGCAAACA